TCTCATGAACCCACCAACATAGCCTCAAGGTATCACACCTTGGCACATTTGGTGTCTCCACACCATCGGCTCCATGAGCCTACCTCTATGACATTTCCCCTTCGTGTCTAAGTCTTTGCCAAGACCAACACCGCTCTTTCTCATGCCAACCATCCGTTAGCACTGCACCATAGAGGTCACACACAACTTTATGTCAAAGTTGTTTTCTTCTGGGAACACCTTTCCCATAATTTTAGCATGGCATATTTTGCCATCGATGAGATACCCTCTGTTCTCATCCTTGGATCCTATGATCCCCCCCCATCCTTTGTGGGGTACAACACACCTCAGTCCAAATGCTTCCATCAGTCCTTTTAGGACCATCCGTTGACTCTACTTGAGTCATCCAACAGTTTTGGACTTGGTTAATCCACAGACCCGTAAGGTCCTACTTGTGAGGCACTAGCTCACTGGAATACACTTCTTGCATTCCTGTCTTACTCAAAAGGACTATTTTCACAAGTGTTACTCCGACACTTGATTTTGTTCTCTGGGGGCAACCTTTGCCCCTTAGGATTACTTGTCCATGTGATGAGAACACCAACTCATCCACTTAATACACCCCCAACACCTAGGGTTGTTCCAGCATTTATTAGAGGTAGCCCCGGCTTCCTTTTCAAGGACTTGAGTCCTCTTCCGTATTTAACCTCCCACGGTCATTACTTCTGGTCTCACATTCATGAGCACCAACCTCAACTATATGAGGAAAATCTTGTGACTCCTTTATTGCTTTGGAGTCTTTATCTTTCCCGTGATCCCAACTGTAGTTGTTTACCACAACTACACTAGCCAGTTTGCTAAGTCAAACGCTCATCTGGATCACATCCCCAACTCTTTGAGGAAAACCATATACTGTTCCCAAGATCCCAAAGTCGTTCCCTTACTGGCCCCTTTTTTTTATCCACCACATCACGCCCAAGTTCATGCATGAACTCGAGTGGAGAGCCATGTCCTCTCGACGTGCTACTCCTCAAGGATAGGACCACTCCTAGGACCTTCCGATGTCAATATCAATGGTGATATACTTGAGCGCCAATAAAAGTAGGACTAAGGAACAGCTCTGATACCAAGTTGTAAGAGACTAAATTTTCCATTCTACTTTAGTCACTTAACCACACCTCCGACCATTTGGAGGAGTCTCATTCACAACCTCCATTAGTCCAATTCAGGACTTGGGACTTGCTAGCCCCAAGAATGGCATCCATGCCACTCAACACTTGCACCTGGTCCAAGTGCTCCACGTGTCTGGTCCGAAGACCGACACCCAAAGGTACCACTGACATCTCGGCCCGTTACGCTAAAGCCATGCCCATTCACCTTTGCTGCACTAGTGGTCCAATACCACTTGCATCACCATCCCGTCTCTCCAAGACTGGGCCATCTGTTCACGAGTGGTCATCCTAGATCCACTCCTTAGCATCCTTAGGATGCCCACCGACCTGGGGAATCGCCTTCCCCAAAGTCCCTTTGTCAGTTCCTACCAAGTCCCTTTCTGCCCCTGGCCGTGTTTACCAACACTGCCACTGGATCGAGGCCCACAGGCCCGACCACTAAGTCCCATGGTCCTCTGGGACTTCCTCACCACACGACTGTGTCCTTGGTCACTACCCCAGAGGACTGCTCCTCTTCCTTTCCACAGTCTAGGCTTTTGGGACAACATTTCGGAACACCGTGGCCTTACGCGAGCCACCTGGGTACTCTCCCCGCCTTTCGCCTTTAGGTGCTCTAGCCATGGGCTTAGAGCGAGGTTCCGTTGAGCCACACCTGGTATCCAAGTAGGTAGTGCCACCCACACTTGGACTGGGAGCATCGGCCAGTCGATCTCCCGGGGGAACTAGAGCCGGCTCTTGAACACTTCACGAAGCTACCCCGCTTGTCGGTCCGTATTCACTCTAGTCTTGGACTTCCCAGTGGTCAGTTCATCACCCAACACTGGGTTTGGCCTTCTTGGGCCAAACTGGCCTTTCCTGGCCAAACTGGCTCCACTGCAGTCCTCCCCCTTACTATACTTTTGGAGCTCACCAAACCCCCTAGGGTCTGGGAGACGAACGCTTTGGGCTTTCACCCTCTCAAGCTCCGGACTCGGACTCGGACTCGGACTCGGACTCGGACTCGGACTCAGACTCGGATTCGAACTCGGACTCGGGCTCGGGCTCGGTCTCGGCCTCGGCCTCGGTCTCGGTCTCGGTCCCGATCTCGGTCTCGGTCTCGGTCTCGGTCTCGGTCTCGGTCTCGGTCCCGGTCTCGGTCTTGACTTCGGACTCCATCTCGGACTCCATCTCGGACTCCATCTCGGACTCCATCTCGGACTCCATCTCGGGTCCATCTCGGGTCCATCTCGGACTCCATCTCGGACTCCATTTCGGGTCCATCTCGGGTCCACCTCGGACTCCATCTCGGACTCCATCTCGGGTCCATCTCGGACTCCACTTCGGACTCCAACTCGGGTCCATCTCGGGTCCACCTCGGACTCCACTTCGGACTCCATCTCGGGTCCATCTCGGGTCCACCTCGGACTCCACTTCGGACTCCATCTCGGACTCCACTTCGGACTCCAACTCGGGTCCATCTCGGACTCCACTTCGGACTCCAACTCGAGTCCATCTCGGACACTCCCACGTGTCATGTGTTGGTCCTTTTGGGTCCCTTTTTGGAGCCTCGCTTTTTGCTCGCTTCGTGCTCGTTCCTCGAGCACTTCTTTGGGAGTTCCACTCCCGCTCTTGACTTTTCAAGTCGGAGCTTTTGGTCCAAACGTGTTATGCTCGTTTGGCTCTCGCTTCAGCCACTACCATGTGGCACCCTTTCTAGCTCCACTTTGGGGCCTAGGGATTTTGTGTCTCACACTCCAATACCAAATTGTAAACAATTAAATTTTCCATTCTATTTAGTCACTTAACCATTGTAAATCATAAAATTTTCCTTTCTAATTTGTCAGTTTACTTTGTCTATTTAACCACTATTGCCTTAGCCTTAGTTAAGTTCTTTTACCAAAGTTCCCACTTATGTTACTAGCTCCTATTTAGTCCTATTTGACTTCAATTACTTACACAAACAACAAGGCATTAACCATTTATTTACGAATTCCCAAATTCTCTCTCAATCCCCCCCCCCCCCCCTCGGGTTAGACTAGATTTAAAGTCTGGTTACACTCTCCACAAGCACAAGCAGCCAAACACACCAAACTTCAAATTCTTAACATCCCTTAGTACCACAAGACTTAATCAAGGGACTTTCTAAATCCTAAGCTTTAGATGCATTTCTTACTTCGGGACCCCAAAGGGAAACACTATAGCCTAACAACCTAGTATAATACTTTTACTCCCCCACTTTCATTCTGAAGGAAAGGCCCAAGCCCCTAAAGAGCAAAGACTAATGAGCCATATGGTACTCAAGTGGGGCACCACTCCACATAAGCCAAGAGCACTATAATTAATTTCTCTTCTGAGAGTGGGAGCTAATCTTGAACACTTCCTTGGGTAGCCTCTCTGGCACCATCTAACTCCATGCTCACTCCTAGCCGAGGCCTTTAACCCCCAATCTCAACCTTAAGTCAGTTTGGAAGCACAATTGGAGAATTCTTTCAAGACTGATTTCCTAACCTCACTATCCTTATTATACTTTTGGAACCCCTACAGCCCCCCTCCCCCTAGGAGACAATCACTTTAGGCTTTCACCCCATGACTATATTAGTATTTAGACTCGGTTTTGGACTTGATTTTGGACTTGATCTCAAACTCGGACTTTAGCCTCAATCTTGAACGTAATCTCAGACTTGGTCTTGGACCCAATCTCGAATCTCGGACTCCGTCTTTAAAAGTTATATGAGGGTTTCATCACTACCAGCAATAATCAAGGATCTTCAAAAGCTGAATGTCAACAAAATCACTCTCTCCACCATAGTTGTAACGAGTCAATAGACAAAGCCTATGGCTCAATGCTATTGGTATGGTAGAGTTGTGGTAGCAACCATGAGATGCAATAGCATAAGACTAACTTTAAAATCAAAGGTAGTGGGAGAATATAAAGATTGTATTTAAAGACTAAATATGGACATCTACTCAATTATAATACTGTAAGAAATCTAAATATTTGAAATTTTGTAAAGAAAATACTATTCTGCATGTGTTTATTTTTTCCCCATGTTCAATTAAAGAATATTTAATTTAATAGAAAGGTATCACATAAAAGTTTTTTAAAAAGTAAAGTATTAAAAATACATTAACTTAAAATAGTGTTTAAATTTTTTGAAGTTAATTAATATTATATACTAATAAACTTTTTATTAAAAATAAAAATAATAAAGAAACATGGTAATTTTAATGTAGTTACCAAGCAATGAGTACGGCATTGTTATATTCAAAAGTTGTGGTTTTTTCTTGTTTACTTTGATCTTTGCACCATTCAAAACATTGGTCACACAGGTTTTGTGAATAAGGTAGATTTTAACTTATTTCTGATATGGATGCTCAAATTAAACAAAATCTTAAAGGTTTAAATACTTCCATGTTGAGAAACTTAGATTAAATAGCTTAAATTAATTGTTAACTAGGATAATAATTATATTCAAGTTAAGCAAATAATTGACGTTCTTCCTGAGTAAACCACGAATTCTTGTCGCGTTTATGGTGAACGACACTAACAATGCATTGCTCCTTCGTCCAAGCACCATCTTGAGGTACATCCGGGACTCAGCTGCCTTGAATCTACACTGGACAAGTACTGAGCGTGCCTCAGAGACGTGAACAAGGCTGAGAACATTCTTGTAGAGCATCATACCAGTGATCTCATCGGCTTCAACTACAACTTGAAGCCGGAAGCACAAGAGTTACTTTGACACTCTTGTCCTTCCGGCTTCAAGTTGTAGTTGAAGCCGATAAGTATAGCAAGCTAAATAATGGATCCATACCCTCTCGTTAAGCCTCTCATTCCTCGAGGCTCTCCCATGGAAGAATGATCTGAGAATGTCATGGGTTTCATTATCACAAGAAAGACACCTGGTTACTTGCTTGATAATCACAGCGGTTTGCCTTGAGTCGTAATCTCAAGTCCAAAAGAAACGAACCACTCGCCAGTATCTCGCCTGGAAAGTAAAGAAGAAAAAATCACCGTTACATGGCGGAGCTAAAAGACTGATTGCTTGAAACTTGCCTCAGGGACGACGAAGGCTAGGACTGTAGACAAGCTTGAGAACATCCGCAGCTCCAGTCACGAAGGCGCCGATTGGAAGATGAGGCTCCGGCAAGCACTGGAAGTAGACGGTGGAGTTGTGCAGACTGACAAACCAGCACTGTATCGTCGGCTCCTCCTTGATGTTATTGCCTTTGTACATGAGAGACCGGCCGTCCCACTTCTTGAGATCCCATGCATTGCTCTTCTGAACGGGGATGTAAAGCAGAAGCGCATGTCCAAAGCCCCACACGTCCATCATGCCGAACATAAGCCCGTTCGTCGGCAGGATCTCTCTCGGCACCTGGAGCTCCTCTGTGATCACTAGCTTGTCCTGCTCGATCACGGCCTTGGAGAACTTGCTCATATTCTTGTCGACCACGATTACCATCGGCTCCCCATCACTGTCCACCATGAAGCTCATAACCATCAAGTCCTCTGGGATGTCCACCAGAGTCGGGATCCACTCCAGTTTGGCGATGTCGAAGCGAGCAATCTTCCCGGGAAGGTTGTTAACGTTGGTGGTGCAGTAGAGCACCGAGTTTGCGATGAAACTCTGGTGTGCCTTGAACAGCAAGTGGAAAGGGAGCACAAATCCTGCAGGAAACCTGGTGATGGACGTCCAGGAACCGGTCTCGGAGCAGTAGACGCGCATGAAGGGCTGCTTGTACTCACGAATGTCCGGCACCAGGATGGGGAGGTCTACCGGCTGGACGACGCTCACCTCGTACAGCAACCCGCTGATTTCGTCCGCGTCCATCACACCCATGGTGAACACCTTATATGACGAGGCCGAATGCGAGCACTGCATGCCTGGATGGAAACCACGGACATTGTGAGTAGAGAAGGAAAAGGTGTAAGCTTCGTTCTTTTCGTTTCAATCAGCTGGAGCTACTTACCGGAGTAGACGATCTCTTCGCCAGAGCTCATATCCAAAGACGGGAGCTTCTTGGTCTCCTTGGTGAAAGGGTTCACCTAGGAAAAGCAATGAAGAGAATCGTGAGTCTTGTCTAGAGCGATTGATCGAGAAACACGAAAGCTTTCTCCCTGGAAGTGATAGATCGAGAGAAGAAAGGGGAATTTTCTTTCTACACATACCACAGTGAAATGGCCGTGCTTGTCCTGGAGCAGCAGGAGGCCGAGCGAGCACGAGACGATGCTAGTGTCCGGTGTCGTGGGGATCCACGGATTCCTCGGCTCGCGAAAGAAGCCCCTTGGCTTGCCGCTGAGGACATCCATTCCAAAGACAAAGCCATTGCGCGCGAGCATGAAGAGCAACCAGGGCTTGGCGCCGATGACCATGTCATACCTCCGCAAGAAGCTCTTCGTCGTGGAAATGCGGCGCCAGAACTTGCAAACCGCGCGCGACCGCAGGAGATCGTCGAGCGGGAGCTTGGCGAGGATCATCTCCTGGAGCAATCGCGGCAGAGGCAGCGGCAGTGGAGATTCCATGCAACGCAAAAACCTTAAACCCTAGCTGGCGTTGCTTGAGCTCAAAGTTTAGAATCTTCGAATATGCCTTTATTTAAATTTTCCAAGCTATGGTATATACATTGCCGAGTGATTGATAGAATCACGTAGATTGTAGATTGTAGCCTCCACCCAGGAAGCCTTTGTTGAGCGGATTGTTCCCCGACGAGAAATTCGACCCTTGCGAGTCCAAATCTTTTCTCCGCTCCCTCTCCAATTGCTCCTTCTTCTTGTGCTCGAAAAACTTCTTCTTCACCGAGTCAATCTCGCCTTTGAGCTGCTCAATCTCGGCCTTGTATCCATAAACTTGCCCCTGTGATGATTCAGAGATGAAGAGTTGCTCAATCACAACGAGAGAGAACAGAACGCGAAGAGAAAAAACCAACCTGATACATTTGCAGCTCGGATGCCATTGCTTTCATTTGCCTCGTCTTCTCCTTGAGACTTTTCGAGTAGACCGCCAATTGTTCTACCATCTCTGGTCCCGGTTGTCTTGCCAAGATGTTTCGAAGCTCCACATACAGCTTCTCCTTCTCTTGAATAAGCAGATCCTTCTCAACGACCTGGAAGAGAACTCGGACATGTCAGACGACCGAAACAAGAACGAATGGAAACAAGAAAACAAATAGACGAAGTCCTTCACTTGCCTGCTCGGTCTTTAAGATCAACCGCTTCTGCAAAGTTTGGATCTTCAATATCATTTCATAAGCGCTGGGATCAGTTCCTTCGAGTTGCCTCCACCGATGCACATTGAGAGGATTCTCTAGCTCCTCCGACAGTGCTTTTACCTGGCACACACACACACACACACACAAAGGAAAAAAAAGTGCGGTTAGAAATTGATCCAGTGGTTTTATTAGCGAACCTTTGTGCGCTCCTGCAGAAGCTCTCGGCTGAGATTGTGAACTTCTCGCTTCAGAACTTGAATGTTGTTGACGGAGCCTTTCAATATACTCTGCTCACGCTTCAAATCTGTTATCTTGATCTTCAAAAGTCGGAGTTCGTTCAGCCGACAACGATACTGGACTTGTCCTTTCGTTAACGTGGACTGCTGAATTTTGATTTTTTCATAGAGCAATGCAAGCTCCTCGTTTCTTCTCATGAGCTGTTTCAGCGGAAAAAGAAACGCGCAAAGTCAGAGAGACAGAAAGGCAACCACAATCTCACCTGAGTTCCTAGGATATCTCTCTCGCTTTTAATGACATCAAGTTCCTTCTTTTGCCGAGAGCGTTCGTCGTCCGCTTCGCTGATGATGTGATTGAGATTTTCAATGGTAGACAGATGCGATCCAATGACTGACTCCGCCTCCCTGATTTCTTGGTGAATTTTGCTAAGATCTTGCTTCAACGCTTCTCTTTCTTTCTCAATCTGTTAAACAGCGTATAGTCATACCACGAAAAAGAAACAGGAAAACATACCTTAGCATGGTCTGCGTGTTCTTTGATTAGCGCTTGATCCTTGGCATTTATTTCCTCTTTCAACTGTTCGATCTGGTGGTTCATTATTTTGATCCTTCGTCTCAATTCGTCAATCTGGTCTTGAGCCTCGACCAGGTTTTTGCTGTAGAGGTTCCTTTCGCTCCTCACAGACTCGTAGAGGTTCTGCTGGATTTTGTATTTGTTTTCCGCTTCTAGAATTTTTTTCTGGAGCTCCATGATAGTAACCTCTCGGGATTTAACTTCATCCAATGCCTGCAATCTCAAAGTAAATACGTATGGCAACCAAGCAGCCATGGAACAGAAGAACCTGCATGTACTTGACGCCAGCCTGAGTGGCCTCAGCACCGTACTTTTGTCGTTCTTTCTCGAGCTGCTGTATCACTTTCTCTTGTTTCGCAGATGATTGTCGGTATGTCTGTATTTCAATCTCCAGGTTATGTACAGCGACCTCGTTGATCTTCACCAGATCGCTTTGCTTCTCGATAGCAGTTTCTGCCTGAGGTGTTGGAAGCAATCAGCAAAGCAACCACAGCATAAATGAAATGTACCTGTGTTTTCAACTTGTTCAACACATCCCGCTCCCGCAACAGGTCTTCTTGACGCTTACGTTCTTGTTCTGTCAGTTTACGTTGCGCTTCTAGTTCCCTTTCTAGATTCACGACGTCGCTTTTGACAGAGTCCCGCTGCTTTTCCACGTCTTCCTTCGCTTTCTCTGCACCCTTCAGCTTGTTCACTGTAGCCTCCCGTATCTGCAATTGATTGATTAGCACACTTGGTATCGAACGAGTCAACTTGCAAGCTCACAAACCTTGTTTACGCGCGCTATCTCAGATTTGAGAACCTGAATTTCCTCGTCTTTAAGCTTCATTTCCACTTGCTTTTGACTGTTCTCGGCGAGGAGCTGAGTGTTCCCGTGTATCTGCTCTTCCAGGTCCCCGTGAAGCTTTGTAACCTGATGTTAGCAGTAAAAGCCACTCTTCAGGTTTATCTGCTGTAAGCAAAGTGAAGGACATCGCTTCGAGAGTGACCTTCTGAGTCACAATATCGAGCTCCTTCTGAGCTTTCTCGGTTGCTTGTCTTTGTTCTCGAAGCGCTAGCTCTAGCCGGGCAACCTGCTCTTCATTTTCTGTAAGCGTTGCTTGTTTAACTCGGATGTCATTCTGCTTTGCTTCCAAAGACATCTTCAAGTCCTTGATGTCTTTTTCCATTCTCTCCTTCTTCTTTTGCTCCCTAGAACAAGTTACATCTACTTGAGTAATCAGCCACGCAAACAAGTTGCATCTACCTTTCACTTTCTGATTTCTTCGCAGCGATTTGCTCTCGAAGACTAGCAACGTCCTGCTCCATAGAAATCTTCTGCTCCTCCGCTACCTTCTGTTTCTCGCTAAGATCGGTCACTTCCTTGCGAAGCTGAACTATTTGATCCAATTGCAGGTCCCTTTCCAAAGTCAGGTCTTCTTTTTGTTTCAACAACTCGTTTAGCTGCAAGTATAGAAACAGCCATAATAACAAAACAAAGAATTCATGATTCACTTACCTCTTGCTCCTGTCCCATGCTCAGACCACATCCTTGCTCAATTATCTGACTCAGGTTCGCAATTTCGGTCTTTAGCTGTCTGCAATCAAAGCGGGTCGAAAGAAAAAAAGCAAGCGAGTAAAATGACTGCGAAAGAAAATAGTATCGCTTACAGGATATTGTCTTTCGCCTTGGCCTCCTTCTCTTGAGAAGCATCCACCATTTTCCATGCTTTGTCTATCTCTTTCTTCAAAGCAAGTATAGTGTTTTGATCCTCCTCGTTGAGCTTCAGAGCATTCTGGACTTTGGAAGCATTTGCCAAAATCTCCGTGTTGAGCTCTCGGCATTTCTTTATGAGTCTTTTCTCGCTCTCTGGAAGAAGAGAAAGTGAAAAATAAAACACAAACTTTACTAGCAAAGAAGGCATACCATGAGATTTCTTGAGAGCCCTGTGCAGCTTCTCATACTCAATTCGAAAGCGATCAAGAGATTTATCCGCTTGTAACTCTTGCAGAACCTACACAATACGAGCTGGCGGCCCTCTTAGTAAAACAAAACCAGAGATTTCACACAGAAAAAGAAAAATCGAAGCAAAACCTCTTGAAAATCCCGCTCCAGAGCCTCAAATGCCTTCAATTCAAATCCTCCCATGGCCTCCTGCGCCCTCAATTTCTCCTTGCGCACGGCCTCCTCGTCGTCGTCCGCCATTTCTTGCGCTGGATCTTGAGCTCACACTAGCGAAAATTCCACGCTTCTCGCAGAATCATGGCGGACGATCCAAGCCCCGCTCCAAGCGCATGCCGCTTGCATTCTCCCAGGCCCTCGCCCTCTGTTCTAAAGCCCTAACCCTAACTCTAACTGCGCCATCTCCAATTTCAAAAACGAGGTATATTCCCAGATTTTATCTTCTTGCTCTTCTTCTAAGCTCGCGCTCCCTCGATCAGAGAAATCGATCACTAGTTCATCCGAGAAGATCCGAGAAAGCACTGATCATCGGAGGAGTAGCAGAGGAACCTCCGGGATTGCGTTCCCGACCTCTCTGGCCTCGGCAAATCTGTGGAACTTGTGGAGCAGCCGGACGAGATTGAGGCAGTTCCTGGGCTCCGGAAGAACTCCCCTCTCCTTCATCTGGGTGAAGAGCTCGTAGCATGCGGTGGCTTTGCTCGCGGCGCAGTGGCTCGCCAGGAGCAAGTTGTAGATGGAGCTGTCCGGCTCGCGGCCGATCCCAATCATCTCCTTGAAAATCCTGTGAGCTTCCATCGGCCTCCCTTCCTTGCAGAGCTTCTTGATGAGGAACGAGTACGTGACCGTGTCCGGCAAGCACCCGGTAGCGATCATTCTCTGGACGTGGCGGTGAGCTTCGTCCAGTTTGTCCATCTTGCACAACGCCTCGAGCAAGAACCTGTGCGTTGCAGCGTCCGGAGAGCATCCCTGCGAAGCCATCTCGTTCATCACCCATCGCGCGTTTTCCACGCGACGAACTTTGCACAGCCCCTCGATCACGGCATTGAAGGTCGCGAGCTCCGGGACGCAGCCGGACTCCACCATCTGCCGCAGCAACTCGCTGCCCTCGTCGAGAAATCCCCGCTTGAAGCAGCCACGAACAAGGAAGCTGAAAGTCGCAGAGTTTGGAAGAACACCAGCCTCGATCATCTGCTCGAACAGCAAGTAAGCGCCGTGGAGTTGGAGCTCAGACATCGCCTCGATGATCCTGTTGTAGATCCCAACATCTGGCAAGAAGCTTTCCTCGTTCATGCTGTAGAGGAGGTCCACCGCCTTGTCCACTCGTTTCTCATCACACAGCGCCGAGACGACGATGGAGTAAGACTCAAGATCCGTGTCACGGTTCTTTTCCATCTTTGCAAAGTGATCCAGCGCGTCGTCGACTCTCTTGGCCCTGATCAATCCCCTGAGAATCGCGTTGTGGAGGCCGACATCAATGTGGAATCCCATCTTCTCCATCTGTGCTAGAATCCTCGTTGCCGGATCCATATCCCCGACGTAGCAGTAG